AGCTGCTCCCCGGCCACCGGAGGAGGGTCCCACATGGCGCGCAGACCTCTCCTGCAGACCTCTCCTGCCGCCCGCTGCTCCCCTCAGCAGTGTACTTCGGTCCTTCTGCCTGCTCTGCTCCCTGCTCTGGCTCTGGTGAATTCTCTCACCCTCCCGCGCTTCTGACTGTACCCAGTGCATGTATAAATAAATAAATAAATCTTAAAAAAAAAAAAAGATAGCATACTCATAAATACACCTAAGGCTGAAAGGATCATTTGCATCATCACAAACCTTGATGAAGTATTTGTTCTAAATTTTTCAGAATTTCAATGACCTTTATTTTACAACATAATCTAAAACACTGGTCAGCAAACTGTAGCAAATGGGCAAAATGTGACCCATATCCTGTTGTATAAATAAAATTTTATTGAAACACAGGCACACCCTTTTTTTTAATTCATTTGTCTGTGGCTGCTTTTGAGCTACAAAGCCAGAAGTGAGTAGGTATGGCAGAAATTATATCATGTAAAAAGTCTAAAATATTTACTATCTACTCTTTACTCCTGATCTAGGAAATATATCCTTACTCCTGATCTAGACATTAATTCCCAATTGGATCTCAACGTTCTGTGATTTTTTTAAGTCAGTTCTCATTTTGAGATGTTTCATCTCACTGCTAAAATGACATATAGAATTGTGCAGTAAGAAATGCACTTCATTTTTAATCTTTATGTATTGCTTTATGTATTGTTTATTTTAACATGCACTCTTTCCTTTACCTGAGTATATATTCTTGCAAAATAAGTTCTGAAACTGAGATAAGTTAGAGATGTAATGAGATTTACATTCTAATCTCTTGAATGAATACATGATGCAAGCTAGAAGAATATTGTTTATTTTCTAGGCTGCCCTGCTGAATAAATTCATTTAATATGATTCTAAGAGGCTTTGAAATCAACATCTCTTTGAAATTTAGTGGAGAATAGTACAATTAATTTGAAGCATAGCTCTATCAGTTTGTTTGGAATTAGGTAAGAGTGAAAAGAAGAAAATAACTTAAAAATAAAAGCATTGGAAACCTATTGTAGTTAGAAACCTCAACTTTGTGGAAATCAATTTTTCAGAAATATTTATAAAGCCACATAATCTTTGAGTACTGAATAAAGACTTGGTCCATGTTTGACAGCAACTTAGATTTTCTCTCAAAGAATCTATAATACTAAGTCTCAAATATGATGAGAAATTACCTATAAAACCCTGGTCACATTAACATAGTACACAGAATTAATTCCTATACTCTTTCTAAATTCTGTCTATAAAGTGAGATATCTCACTCATATTCAACGATTGTCTACTGTGTTAAATGGATACTACAAAGACTTTAATTGCTAAAAATGGGTACTGAATGTTAACCATGTGCCAAACACTACTTTTAACACTTATATAGCCACCTTTACCCACTTAACCAATGAGGGAGTAAGCATAGATAGGAAAAATAACTAAGACCATGCACCAATCTTAGGGGAAGGGAAAATTCTAACTCAAGCATCTTGCTCCAGATGCCCCTTTATACCATGTTCTCCCCAAAGTCTGTGACTAAGATAAACTGGGAAGCAACCAATTGTAGTGCAGTAACAGATGCTTGTACTAGGTTCTGGGTAGCACTGCAAAGTTGCTGATTCTTCTGGATGAGAGGAGGAGATGCTTCTTGGATGAGATAAAACTTGTGTTGTGTTCCCATTTCTCCACATCCTCATCCACATTTGTTGTTGCTAGTTTTTTTTTTTTTTAATATGTGCCATTCTCATTGGTGTAAGATGGTATCTCATTGTGGTTTTGATTTGCATTCCCTTGATTACAGTGATGTTGAACATTTTTTTTTTTTCATATGCCTGTTGGCCATTTGCATTTCCTCTTTGGAGAAGTTTCTTTTTAGTTCTTCTGCCCATTTTTTGACTGGGTTATTTACTTTGCTTTTGTTGAGTCTCCTCAGCTCTTTGTAGATTTTTGTGATCAGTACCCTTGTCATTTTTATTGTGTGTGAAAATTTTCTCCCAATCAGCGGGGTGTCTCTTTGTTTTGGTTAATGTCTCTTTCTCTTTCGCTGTGCAGAAGCTCTTTAACAAGGGACCATGGTGATAGATCACAGGTGAATGTGTAGTGGGAATTTCACAGGGACTATAAACAAGGTGAAAATGCATAGATTGTACAAAAATGAAAAATGATGTAAAAAATACATAAAATAATAATAAAAAAAAAGCTTGTGTTGAATTGGGTTTGCTCATAAAGCACGTTTAGAGACAGCACTTGTAAGGAAGAGGAAGGAGGAAAATGAGAACGTGTTTTAGATGATAAGTGGACCAGAGGTGTGAATAAGGGACCTCCCATAGTGATATATCATACAAGAAGTCAGTGGTTTTCAAATTGTATTTTAGTAAGAATCACCATAGTGCTTGATTACAATGAAAATTACCCCAATTGCTAGGGAATCTTGGACCTAAGAAACTTGAATGATAGCATGAATGCTAGGTGATTCCAATATAGGAGAACCTTTTTGCCAACACTGTTAAAAAATATAAGGAAATCATTATGCTTAAGCAATGGCATGGCTAATGCCTTTGTGTTTTAGGAAGAAATAAACCAGAGGGGGTCAACAAAGCACGGAAAGTGTTCTCAAAAGTGTTTTTTGGTTAGAATTCTGAAATAATGGAAAGATAGTCTTGCAGTGATTTCTATAACACAGGAATACATCACATGTTTGTTTGTAATTGCCTTTTTATACTATTTGGATTATGAGATTATAAAAAACACTGAAAAGACAGGATCTAGTGTGTTAATTTTTAAGAAATATAAATTATTAAAATATGGGCTTTTCAAATCAAATCTTACCTTTTCAAACCTTCCTACTCGAGCAGTTAGTTAACTGCAGATCAGCTATTAGGGAACCAATTATAAATAAATAAATAAATTACTAAATTTGAATCATATTTTCAGTAAAACCTAAATTCATACAATATTACTGAGAGATTTTTTAATAAATGAAGCAAGTTAGAGGTTTTTTGCTACTTGTTTGTTTCATGGATCGATTTAACAAATTGAAAGACTTAACTACTCTTAATTACTTAATATTTCTTGATCCATAAATGTAAAATATTATATTGCTTTCTTATAAGGTGAAAGTTATATATCACATTGCCTTTGAATACCTCTGGAATGAAATAAGACAATCTGCATTTCAAAAATTATCCATTCCATTAATTAATGTAGCCAGGTGGGTTCCAAAACAATCTTTATTCAGAAAAGTGCTTTATCCCCAATTTGCAAAAATGAATGTCAGCATCTTTTCAATACCGAACCAACTTGAAAGCAGCATGAAGGGAACAACCATCCAGCTCATCTGCAATTAAATAAACTCCAAACATCAGAATCTCTTTGGGTAAACAGAGATGCCCTTGACCAACTGGGGATTCTCAGACTTAGGATGCCAGTTCACACACTGCTGTTTATGCCACACTTAAGCTCGTTCAACACAGATGGTAGGCATAAAATATCTAAGCTCTAATGGATCATGTCTGGGAAGAATGATAGATACGATCTTTTTCGTTGACAAAAGAGTTGTTTTCACATTCCAGTTGAATTAAATTATGTTCATTCATGCCGCGAGACATAATCTCTGGCAAGAATTCTTAGAAAAAGTTCTCATATAAACTCATTGCAAAACAAATGAAAAAGAAGTTGCTAAATGTCACTATTAGAAAATATGGGGAAAAGTTAAATTTACATTAAGCAAGGTAGGATCATGACAGTTATGAAACTATCAGTGTGGACTCCAGGTACTAATTTCTGGGTTTTGAAAAATGAGTGCACTGTAGCTGAATAGATAGAGAGGCTGGAATATATATTCTGGTCAAGGAAGAGAGGAGGAGTGAACCAAAGTCTTAGCCTAGTGTTTGCTGAATTGGGCTTTTAAATATGACCTAATCATAGTGTTAGGGATCCTCACAAACACACACCAGTTTGGTGACTCCCAAAGACACACAGAATTCAGAAAAGCTGTTATACTCAAGATCATTACTTATTACAAGAAAAAGATACAGATTAAAATCCTCAGAGATCAAAGGCATGTAGGGCAGATCCAAGAGCAACCAGGCACAAGCTTCCAGCTGTCCACTCCCAATCACGTGTCCCCCACAGCAGTTTGTGAAAACATACACCAAGTGTTGCCATCCATGAAGGCTTAACCCACACCTTAGGGTCCAGGGTTTTGATTGAGGGTCAGTCATGGAGGTATGGAATTCTCCATGACCGACCTTATCTGTAGTCTCCAGCCCCTCTGAAAGGTCAAACTGATACACATGGTCCAGGTTTTCAGGCGAATAAAAGCAGACATTCACGATAAATCATATTGTTAGTATAAACTATCTCACACAGCCCAAGACCCAAGATATACAAAGACACTCTTATCAGGCAGGATATTCCAAGGGCTTAGAGGTTATCTCTCAGGAGCCAGACAAGGGCCAGACTTTCTTTGGAATGTGAGGGTTTGAATACTCTGTACTTGCCAAGTTCACCCTCTACTGCAGAATAGCTTGTGTGATAATGGGTCTTAATTTTTAAAAATGAAAAAAAACAAGAGGTGTGAATTCCTAAAAAAAAATGCTTACCTGTATGAAATTTGTCTATATACATTTGTTTGATGATGAGGGAAAAATAAAAGAGGAAAAAGAGAAGTAGCTTCACCAAATAGTAATTGGTCTTCTGCCATAAGGATTCAGGTGGGTCTCTGTGGAGAAATGTGTTACCACGTGTTCCTAATAGTGATGATCTAAGGATTAAGTCACCATTCAGAAAAGTGTAAATGATTCACTGCTGCTCCAGTTAATTGTACTATAGCAGAACATTTGTGTTGCACTGACCTAAAAATTGGAGAATTAACTACTCACCACATTTTTCTTTAAATTTCTGCTCCCTCTCTGCACCCTTATTTTCTTTTCTGAAACGCAATGTCTTCTCTGAAGATGTTCCAGTGGATTTGATCGCCATCGGCAGGACTGGGTGGACAGTGGATGCCCTGAAGAGGTACATGTGTGCTTTATTATGACAAAATTCCTGGGAACAAGCTGTCCTGTAGAGTTGCTACAACTTCATGAAATGGTATCTAATTTAACAGAAGTATCCACTAGTTAATGAGCTTCTAATGTATGTATGTGCCAAGCCCTGGGTTAACTTCGCGTGTATTTTTCAGTGTGTCCTCATATCCATGAGCTCATATGACCAAGAGAAGAGGAAGTCATGGAATGAGGGTATCTAGGGTTAGATATGTGATGAGAGAAGAGTAGAACCAGGATTTGAATCTCTAGAAGCAAAGAGTATTTCTCTTTAACACTTAATGCTTTTCTAAGACCTAGACAGTCATTGCTTATCTTTTTTTTGCTCAAATAACAAAACCAGTGGTTTGAAGAAAAGATTGATTGCAGCAAATCAGTTTGATATAAGAAGTTGGAAAAGGTATAATAATTAAACAGTAACTCTCAGGCAAACATAGAAACAATACAATGAAGGTATTAAAGTAAGTGTGTACAATTGCAGAAGCAATTTAAACTTGTTTAAAAGTTTTCTAGTGAATTGTATTTACACTGTGATTTCCAGGTCACATAATGGTGTCCTATGCATTCCACAAAGAAAAGTATTTGTTTCTTCTCTCTTTGTTAAATCTTAGTGTATGAATTTTGAATAAAATCCTTTAACAATTATGCAAGTTTTCTAATTCAGTAAAGCAAATCATGTCAAAATACAACAATTATTTTAATACCTATAAGGTAATCTGTGGTTAAAAGAGACTTTTTAAAATATAGGTTCTTATTTATGATGTTTCATATAGATTTGAGAAATGCATCTTGATGAATATTTTTGAACTTTGTGTTATTGCAGTTAATGTAGCTTTAGTCTACTTTTTGACATTCATTTGGGAGATGATAGTGATATATACTAATCCACCTATTTCACAACAATTAACAGCAAAGTTCAGAAAGAAAATACATCAATGGAGTCATGGTTGTGTTTTCAGGTTGATATGTTTTCAGGTTGATACGTCACAGTTACTTCAATTAAAAATGCTGAAATTGAGGGCTTCCCCTGGTGGCGCAGCGGGTTGAGAGCCTCGCTGTGAAGCTGTCTGTGGCCTCTGCAATGCAGGTTTGATCCCGGCCTGCCAGCTGGCCGGCTAGGGTCCCACATGGCACAGCAGACCTCTCCTGTCGTGCTGGCTGCTCCCCTCAGCAGTGTATTTCTGTTGTCTGCCTGTTCTGTTCCCCGCTGTGTCTCTGGTGAATCCTCTCACCCTCCCGTGCCTCTGGCCTATACCCCAGTTCTTGTATAAAAATAAATAAATCTTAAAAAAAAAAACTTCAATATATATATTTTTTTAAAAAAGGCTGAAATTGAATATTTAAAGAGACCGAGAGTACAGTTCAGGCATCTTAGTGTTCTTTTTTTTTTTTTTTAATCGAGATAACATTGGTTTACAACATTGTATGTGATTTAAAGATACAGGATCACACCCTTCTATGTTATTACCACAATATTCTTGCTTTGCTGTGTACTCACTGTGGCAAGTAAAGAAGAATCTATCACAATTTAAGACCCTCTATATTCTTTTTTTTTAAGATTTATTTATTTATTTATACAAGCATTGGGTATGGTCAGAAGTACGGGAGGATGAGAGAATTCACCAGAACCAAAGCGGGGAACAGAACAGGCAGACTGAGGAAATACACTGCTGAGGGGAGCCGCGGGCGCGGCAGGAGAGGTCTACGAGTCATGTGGTACCCTCGCCGTTGGCCAGGCATCGAACTGACACTGCAGAGGCTGCGGGCAGCTTCACAGCCCAGCGCTCAACCACTGTGCCACCAGGAGAGGCCCCCTCTATATTCTTTTTGTGGTGAATTTGCTATGTTCTGTTACTCAGCACTAAAATACAAAGATTAAAAAAAGAAAGGAGGGCCTCCCTGGTGGCACAAGGGGTTAAGCACAGCACTATGAAGCAATTTGAAGCCTCTGCAGCACAAGTTCCATCCCTGGTCGGCCAGGGAGCTACCCACATGGCACAGCAGATCTCTCCTATCTCTCCCGCTGCTCGTGTCAGCAGTGTACTTTGGTCTGTCTGCCTGTTCTGTTCCCCGCTCTGTCTCTGGTGAATCCTCTCAACCCCCGCATCTCTGGCCTGTACCCCAGCTCTTGTATGCATAAATAAATAAATCCTTTAAAAAAAAGAAAGGGAGGGAGCGAGGGAGGGAAAGGAATTACCACACCTATCCCCCAGCTGTCAAGATCAGAATCCAGTACATTCTGTAATATTCAGTATTTTCATTTTATACTTTAAATTATCAACATTACTGGCATTATGGACAGCAATTTTATCCTGCATCTATATGTAAGTGCCCAGAGTCACCGACTTCATTTCTGTTCCAAAAAGTAAGGCTAGATTTTCTTTAATGAATTAATGAAACTGGACATATTTTTATGGTTTTTTTTTTTTTTATTTCTGTGTTTCTTCTCCCTTTCTTCTACATTGAGATGATTGTTCATTCCTTTCTCTCATTTTTTACTGTGAAGTCATCTTTTTATTTTTACTTTGAGGAGTAAATCTTCATGGTTTATATCTGACAGACTAGAATTTATATTAAAAAGCCATACAAAATTATCTTACTATTTAAAACATTTATCTGAAGATACATTATGCTTCTCCACTTGGACAGCAATATCACTTATAAATAACGAGAGTTGTGTTTGCTTCTTACTTTGTATTTCTTACTCCTTTTTATTTATTTTTTTGTTGCATTATTGCTCTGAATATCTCCAGTTGTTATATGCGTTCTCCCAGATTTTCATTTTCTCTGTGATTTTTATTTAGCTAACATCCATTCTCAATTTAATGTTTCAAATGAATTAATCTTTGATGTATGGTTCATTTCATGTGTTTGTGGATCTTGATTAAAATGACTCCTTGCAAATTTCAAAAGGTGATTCTCATGTATTTTGTCTTTCATATTAAAATCTTCATTCCATTTGAAACTGGTTTCTATGTAAAAAATAGAAAGTCATTTTTATGGCAGCTTTTCCCTTTCTGGATCATTCCAAGCACCATTTATTGACTAATCTTTCCTTTCGGTAATTTCTTGCAAAGCCCACCTCTTTCTTACATGATTTTCATTTATCACAGAGTTGGTTTCCGTGATCACCTCTTCTAATGCTCAACTTGTCAATACTCTGACCAGTGTTACATGGCCTTAATTACTATAGATTTGTAAGAAATCCTGCAATCTATAGGACACATTTCCTTACTGTTTCTTCTTAGCAAGTATTTTGACTGTCTTAAGAGCTTTGTTTATATGTAAATTTTGACTCAATTTTTCCACATCTGTATTCAGTATTATTTTTAATTGGGATTGTACTGAATTGTGGATTACTTTGCATTTTCAAATTATAGACCTTTAAAAAAAATTGTCTTTACATTGGCTTGTAATTGATTGTCAGAGAGATGGTTCTTGAAAATTGGTTGGAACTTTTCAATGAAACAGTCTATGGGTAATTTCTATAATGAACTGTATGTGCTCAGGAAGAATGTGGGTCTTCTGATCAATTGGTGTCAAGTTTGATAAAGTCAATCAAACTTGCTCTATTCTGTTTCTTTTCACCTTCTGAGTTCTTTAGAAACAGGCTTGACCTATTCATCCTCTCCCTGGTATCCGTTAGCCTCTCTTATGTTATCTGTTTTCTTATTTATCTATGCTGCATCCCGGGAATTTCTTCAGCACTATTTGCCCATTTATTAATTCTCCCTTCATCTTATTTAATCTGCTATTTAACCTATTCAGTGAAGATGTAATTTCAAAAAATACACTTTTTTATTTCTCACATTTAAATTTGATACTTTATTAAAACTGCCTGATCATTTTAGTCAATTTCATTAGTTCATTTTAAGATATACGTTCATGTCTTTAAATATTTCATGTAAATTTTTAAATATTCCATGTTGTATGATCCCAATATCTTTTTTTTTGTAGTCTAAATATGTTGTTCATTGTTTTTGCTGATTTTAAGTCCTCTTGTGTATGTATGTGTGTTCTTTAGTAGAAAATGCATATTTGTTTGATCTCATTCCATTGGAATCACTAGGTCCTAAACAGGTGGTGCTGTCCACCAAAGAAGGTTTGATAATGGGAATTTAGGGCTTAGGGGATACTATTTGTCCCTGTCTTTATATGAGGAGAAGAAGAGTAGACTTATCTCCTCCATCTGCTATTAGCACAAGGCTTGATCTTCATAGAGCAATATTGATTTTAAACAACCCCCCGCAGAGCAAACTCTGCTATTTTTACTTTGTTTAATGTATACTGTTCCCACTCTCTTTATTGCTTTTGCTTTGTTTTGTGGGGAAACAATTGAACGGTATCCTTGGAGATATTCTTTACTCCCTACAAATCCTAGTAATGCTTTAAAAATTCATGTTTTATCCAGAATCTACTTGTTTTCTAACAGAAGGACTATATAGTCTTTAGTCTGCTTTTATTGTCGTAAGCTAAATAAGCCCAGGTATTACCTTAAATATTAGGTTCTCTGATAATACTATTCTTTGAGGATAGAAACTAAGGAAGAGAATAATATATGGCAATTTCCATTTTAGACTTATGAGTTTGAGGTGTCTGTTGTATCCAATGCATATGTTAATTCAAACATGTGAATATTTGACCTAAACTCCAAGAGAGAAATATGGACTAGAGATATTTATGAATAATCAACAAAAAGATGGTAATTGAAAGCATGCATTTGGAGCAGGTTGCTGGTGAGAATACATATATTAAAAAGATGAGTCCAGAAGGATATACAAAAACCACCATCACTTAAGGGCTAGGCAGAAATAAAAGAATGTAGAGGAATATTTTTTGGATTGGTAGCAGAAAATTGATGAAAGTGTGTGTCACTCAACACAAGATTAGAAAGTGGATAGCTGTACCAAGTGTTGATGAGCTATCAGGAGTATACCATGAAAGATTTGGTTATTAAGGAGGTGTTTAGAATTATTAGTATGAGAAATTTCAGTTAAATCAGACCAGGTAAAATCAAGATTGTCACTAACTGGGTGAAATGGAAGTTTGAGAAAATTATGCCAGATCTATCTCTTTGAAAGTAAGACTGGATAGAAGAAAGAATAAGGTAGTCAGTGTGCATTGCAGAGAAGAGGGAGGACTGGATTTTCAAAATAACTTCGGGCTTGCTTGAGTATGTTTAAGGGCTGATGGTAATAAAGTAGCATAAAAATAGTTAGAAAACATTGAAGAGAAAGGACAGGATCAAATGAGAAAGTCCACTATACTGCGAAGAGGGCTCAATTGGGCCAGTAGAGATTGAGAGAATAGCTATAAGTAATTAACCCTATCCATTACAGAAGGGAAAAAAAAGCTACATCAGTGCAGATCCAATAAGAATGCAGATTTACAAACAATAAAGAACTTGGGCTGATGCCTCTTTCTATAAGGAGTTGTTCTGGGCTTATCTTTTTGAGTGGAGTGGAGACAGTTTGGAATTGATACTGAGGAAAACAAAAGAGGAGATTAGCAAGAAAGGACAGCATTGTCAAACAGCATGGAATTGCTCCCTGAGGATGCAGGAGCTAAATAGGCAGAGCTCCCACTTGGAGACTATATGATTATTTTCTCAATGTGTCTGGCTTTGTTGCAGGCAGGAGACAAGAAGATATTTTACTAAGGTCAGCATTGGGCATTTTCTGCAAAGCTGGGTAAAAATTAAAAAAAAAAAAACACAGATAAGAGGTTTGAAGGTATTAAGAGATTGAAGCCATGAAAAAAGGAAGAAAATCAGTGTGCTTGTGATTTTTACATAGAGTAAGAAATATTTGAGTGAACAGGTACATGGAGAGACTGAAAATAGCATCACTGAATTTATAATTTTAGAAGTAAAGCATTTTCAATTGCAGGAAATGTTTTGGCTGTGGTGACAAGTAAAGTGGAGTCAAGATCACAAAATAGCTGGGGATGAGAGGATGAGGAATTGAAATTTGGAGAATTGAATGGACTACTAGGATGTTGGGACCTGAGTGGGGAATAATCCTGTATCATATTCAAATAGTGAAAAAGAAGCTGTCTCAGGGACTTCCTGAGTCCGTGTTAAAATATATTGTACTTCAGTAATGACAAGAGAAGTGTAAGAAATATGTGTGTGTAATAATAGTTTTCCAATGTAGGGGGAGTAGTGACCATGGTTATCAGCTACTCAGCATCTATCATGGGGATGGAGCCCTTTAAAACACGAAGTGGGGGGCCTCCCTGGTGGCACAGCGGTTGAGCGCTGGGCTGCAAAGCTGCCCGCAGCTCTGCAGTGCCGGTTCAATACCCAGCCGCCTGCAAGGGTCCCAAATAGCACACAGACCTCTCCTGCTACACCTGCTACTCCCCTCAGCAGTGTACTTCATCATTCTGCCTTTTCTGTTCCCTGCTCTGTCTCTGGTGAATCCTCTCACCCTCCCGTGCTTCTGACTGTACCCAGTGCTTGTATAAATAAATAAATAAGTCTTAAAAAAATAAAATAAAACACGAAGTGAGGAGAAATACCAACTTCTAAACTATAAAAGATTGAATGTTGGAAGTTGTGAAGACCATAGAATTTATTTTTGTGGTCTATCAGTTTTTTTAAATGCAATATGTATTTTTTCCTGTTTTCCTTACCTAGCTCTGCTAAGGTCAAGACAAGCTAAGCGATTACATAAGTACTGTTTACTATTGGATGGTTTTGATTATTTCATAAAAGAAAATAAAATTTTAAATGTCCATTCAACCTATGGTGGATTATTTCGAAACATATAAACATACAAAGTATTATGGAGTAGTTACCAAATGTTTAGAAGTTAGCATTATCAGTTCTATATGAAAGGAATATGTGTTTTCCTCACAGACCTAGGACTGTTTTATATCTTACCATCATACACATTTTTCTTCTTGTGTAAACTTTTTCCTTTCACATCATGTCTTTGATAAATGTATTGATATAAAATTGTTTAAAGATTTATTTATTTATGCGTACAAGAGCTAGGGTACAGGCCAGAGTTGTGGGGGTGAGACGATTCACCAGAGACAGAACAGGGAACAGAACAGGCAGACTGACTGAAACACACTGCTGAGGAGAGCAGTGGGCAAGACAGGAGAGGTCTGCTGTGCCATGTTGGTTGCTCCCTGGCCAACCGGGGATCGAACTCATGCTGCAAAGGCAGCAGATAGCTTCATAGGTTGCGTCTTAACCCTGTCACCACCAGGGAGGCCCATGATATAAAATTTAGCAAGATAAACGTAATACAAAGATTAACAGCAGAAGATGATGTAATACAAATATAAACTTTATTAAATCCATTTTTTCTCTTGTCCATTTTATATACCTTGAAAAGTAGTAAAATCCATAAATATAGTCATGTACAAAGTAATTAATTCCTCACCTTGATTTGAGAAAACTTTGTGCTTTACAGTCCCATTCTTTGCTGTAATTTTTCTAACAATAGATGTGATTACTCTAAAACTGTTCTCCTTTTTGTTTCTCTTATTAGTCAAAAGAGAAGATGTGTGAGAATACAGAGCCAGTGGAAAGTTCTTCTCAAACCACCACTACCACCATACAAGCAACAACCACACAATTCAGGGTCTTAACCACCACCAGAAGAGCAACCACATCCCAGCTGCCCACCAGCCTGCCCACAGAAGGTGCCCTGCGATGAGTTTGCTTTTTTTCCTGACAGAAAGAAAAGTCACTAATTTTGACATGTACTGGAGTAGTTCTCTAGAGAGAAAGTCATTCCTCTACAATCTATATTTCTAAATAGGAAAAGATAAAATGATTATGAAAAAATGCACTGGGATTCTTTTAATGTACTGTGCCTTTTAATAGGACTTAGATTTTAATAGTTGTTCTGGCTATTTGTCCTCCATAGAACTCCCTAGAAAAGATGTAGAGATTTCATTTCATTTAACTTTGTAGTAATTAAATTAAATATTTCACTCATAGAATGGAGAGGCCAAATACATATAGAAAGTCTATTGATTTTTGGATTCTGAATAATAAATTCTACTTGGATGCAATTCTTATATTTGTCTAAATACAGTCAGTAAGAACTGTTGGTCCATAGCTTATAGAGAGGCATTGAGTATGTAATAGAAATTGTCCTTAAAAAACATTTCTTCTGCCAGGGAAGAGAGAAATACTAGAGAAGGTTAATGCATGAGCACAGCTCATTGTGAAAAAAGACATATTAACCAAAAATTGTTAGCCTTATATCCTGAATGTTGCCACTAGGGAAAAATGTGAGGCTAGTTAGCTAAGAACAAGCTTTGAGGGGTAAAATGCTCTTATATATTGTCAGAGATGTTGCTTTTATTTGACTAAAAAATTAAATTAAGTTCTAAACTTTTGTTTTCAATTGAAATTTAATTGAATTTGAAAGTTAACAGGAATAAAGAGATAAAGAGAGGTAGAAGACAGCTGCTAAATTCATTTCATTGCCTTTAAAGCCAATATATTTTAACCCCTATTATTTTAGATTGGTGTATCAGTAGAAGTATATATCTGTAATTCAAGCCTTACCAGACTGAAGTACAACCACAGAAATAAAAAGTCCTTAATTTTGTTCATTAAGTATAGGCCTTTCATATGCAATTTTGGACCTATTTGTTATCAATGAATAAGCATTTAACTCTTGAAATTAAATTAGTAAATACTGATATATCTTTACTATTCCAAATAATTTAGAATTCTTTTAATCTTGATTTTTTAAATAAATAAAGACTACAACTATGGTCAGTTACAATAAATGATTTCAGTAAATTAAAGATAGGTATAGCTTAAGTTAAAATTAAAACTATTGTCCTCACAGATCTTAGCAATTTTACTTTATTAATATTTTGATCTTAATCTCAAAAAGAATTGTTAGTACCACATCAGATGCCCTACATAAGGTTGGTTTCATTGTAATAGAAAATAGCTTAGTTAGAATATCAAAATCTATTCATGTTACTGTTAAGTCATTAGTAAAGAATTACTGATTATAAAATGTATACATCTTTAAATTGTTTCTGTTGTAATAACTTTGATTTCTCTTTCAGATGATACCAAGATAGCACTACATCTAAAAGATAATGGAGGTAGGAATTAACACTTCTATTTTATAAGTATTTTTAGATACTAATCCTTTTCATTCATTTAAACATGAGAAAGGGCTGTGGATTTCTGAATATAGAGTGAATTTGTAATTCATTCCCTGCTGGTATTATTGTTGATTAATTAATTATTTTATTTATTTATGCAAGCACTGGGTACAGTCAGAAGTGTGGAAGGGTGAGAGAATTCACCAGAGCAGGGAACAGAACAGGCAGACTGATGAAATACACTGCTGAGGGGAGCAGCGGGCATGACAGGAGAGGTCTGCTGCACCATGTGGGACCCTCCCTGTGCGGGGATCAAACCTGAGCTGCTGCAGAGGCAGAGGGCAGCCCAGCCCAGCACTCAACCATTGCACCACCAGGGGAGGCCCCCCTGCTGGTATTTAACATAGGAAGAATTCAGTGGGTTGAAAAGTGAAATGGTTTCAATAGTGGAACAGCATTCTAATCTATGTATTTGCCTATAGAAAAACCAAATGAAAGATCAAAGACAAACTTTAAAACCAACCCTTGAAAGTTAACCATAGATCTGCAACTTTCAGAGCAGGGAGGGGGAGGGGAGAAGAGAAGAGAGGGGAAGCATAGTGGAGTATGGACTATGGTGGAAGACTGTGGGTGTTTCACTGGTGGGTGTGCTATGGGGACTCCACCTGTGGGGGGAAATCCTCCACTGTCAAAACACTAGCAAGGATGTAAATGATGATACTTCAATAACAAGTTAAAAAAAATGGTAATTTAGCATTTAAAAAAATCATATAAATGATGTATTATTTATTTAATAAACTAGTTATAATTTATAAATAAATAAAAGCCTGCCACAACCATTCACAAAATTAAATATATTGGGTTTCATTTAATGGAAATAAATCATTGGATCAAAAATAAGTCATTTACCTAGTACTCCTAATTAGAAATGATTTATAAATTGTCATGTATGATATTAAAATAAAACAAAAAATGTACATGGCACCAGTGACCAATTACAAAGTGAAAATTTATCCATACAACTCACTATTCTTTATTTTTCTACCCCTTGGTTTAAATGTATGTGCTTAGTCTTTGGTTTAAGTGTAAATGCGATCATCTACACAGGACAGATACTGGTTCATCTATATTTTTCACTGTTGAGTAGTCAACATGCTTTATAAATAAAATTAAGAAATACAGCAGTATACAAATATATTATCCTAAGCCTTACCTTTTATATGAAGCAAAGAACAAAAATTATATATGAAAGGAATATTTAGTTAATAGCATAAAATTATTCTAAGACAACTGAGAAATACTATATCTTTAATGGTACTTGAAAATTTGAGGAAGACATGTTTTACCTAAACAAAGTGTGAAAGATATTGATTAATGTTTTTTTTTAAATAGTTCTTTTCCTGTTAAAATGTTAGCTTACATGTGCTTCTGTATAGTTTTATGCTGATGTTTGACAAGTTATTTATTATTATTATTTGTTCAGTCATTTCAAAAGGGCATCTCTTCTTAGCTGCATCTGTGATATATATAGATATGGTACACTAAGACATAGTTTTCTAGACACAGATTTACTTTTCCAGCCCCAGGTGATTTCATAAGTCAAATCCAACATATTCATTCTTACAGATATTTTTTTCTCTATAATTGTAGAGAATTATTATGTAATTATTCAGTCTGGATTAAATAAAATATACCTTTTTCTCAGGTTGCTGTTGATACAGATGTAGATATAGATAGATAAGATAATATTTAAATTTCATATCAATCCTTCTGAAAGAAAAACTGCTTAGCCTCCTCATATACATCATTATTTTATTGTCCATTGTTTTGTTTCTGTATCCTAGTGTTTTATTTCATTTATTTCTTACTCATTATTGCATTAATATATTAAGTGGATAGCTTTAAAAATGATCATTAGCAAAATATATACCAGCTAGAACTAAATTAAAATCTAAGCATTCAAAGGGAATTTAGCACATCCCCAGTTTAGGATTTCTGAGAGCAGATGAGAAACGCAGAACATGAGTCCTAACGTTGCGCTCACCTCATTTTTGAGGGAAGGTGTATCATATGAGTTGAATGGATGAATGAAATGGAGAAGGGGTGCCCAAGAAGCTTCCATTGTATTCATTATATTTAATTCTTAATAATGGTAGTAGTAACAAATATTTTTGTTATATATTCTCTATGCTCTATCTTCTTTTATGACTAAAATATTCTATAATGCCAAGAGAAAAAATAATACTCCAATAATTAAATAGGTGTGGCATATTCTGTGTGAAAGAAAGCTAAAGGGTTTCTTATGTCAGAGAAGTGTTCAAAGCTTTTGATGCACGTCTGTCAATTCATTCATTTATTTCTCCAGAATGCATGTTAATTGCAAGGCACTGTAGGTTTGGGGATAAGGTAGTGAACATGCTTAGACAAATTCTTTGCTCTTAGAGAACATGTATCTAAAGAAAATTGGAGATGGTTATGAAGATTTAGTAATATCTGTCACTTCTCCACATTTGTTTATAAAAACCTTTTTTACAAGTATCATCCCATGATCTTAATGCCTGGAGTGCAATTTGGGAAATAGTTTTCTACAATATTTTTAATTGTCCCAGGGGAAATCTTTAGATTTGCTTACTGCAGCAAGGAAACATAAAGCTGAAGGTTTTTTTAATGCTGATCATGCTGACAAATCAAGTTAAGTAAATTTCAAGACTTAAATTTAGCACTTCTTTCCTTTTCTGTTATACTAGAAAAGTTGAACGCTGAATTTCATATGCTATTTAAATCATTGGTATGCCACAGGTATACATCAGAATTCCAATATATCACAAATAAGACTTCAAATATATCTATATACTGGAAGTCTTTCCACATCTAGGGCGTGGAAAAATTTTTTTTCTAAAACCATTCAAGTGCAGTTAGAACAGACCAACCTAACCAGTGGCAAGTCCCATCAAAAGAATATGCAAAGGAACTCACCAATGACTAATTTCTAAGGCGCTTCATTAAGATTTCATGCTATCATTGTCTTTTATTTCATGGAAGATGGAAATACAGGAAAGATTGCCAATTTAAGTCTCACTTAATTAGTTAATTAAGTATGTTCAAAACAGAATTTCAAATTGTCCTTTCCTCCAGTTGAACGTTTTGGGAAAATTGAGGCAATAATGAAATAGGATGCCTAATCTAAATGCTCTCTCACATTTATTGAGAATTACTAGTGAAATGCAAGTTAATGCATTTTATAAACTTTTATGGCAAAGATGTTCAGCACTTTTTATTTCTTGAGTTAATTTCTTTATTCAATGTGCCGTTCATAAAAACATTTCAATTTAGAGTTCTGTACTTTCTGGTGACATTTTTTAAAGTAATCAGTTTCTGGCTAGAAACCAGTGACTCTGCCTTTAGGTATACCCTCTCCTTTAGATAGGGGTTACCTTGGCTTCCAGTCTTCTCGGCACCTTCTATAGGTTAAAGTGGTTGATTTTCTTAGTTGAATTCACAGGTAACGTGATGTTTCACTCTCTAGGAAATTTTCCTTCATCTTTGATATGAAAGCATAAAGTACTTCTGAGCAGCCAGACATCAAAGGCACACAAAAGGGTTTCTCATTGACAGGATGGAAACTGAGTTATAATCTGCTAAGTCATTCTAGAATCTTCAGTTGTGCATTGAGTTTCCCAGTACAGTTAAATTAGATAGGGCCTTTGGAAGTTCCAGGTCATCACTAGACTACTTCTAAGGTGATATCTCTATTATCTAGTCTGTAGTGACAGATCAAATGTCTAGTTTTCATTTGTCGTTCAGTTGAATTATTTTTTACTTTAATGCATAAATCATCAAAGTAAGACCTTTTGGCTGTTTTTCCTATTTTCCCTTGCTATTTTTTTCATATGTTTCTTTCACATAGATCACAGTCTTACAAGCAAAGGAAAGCTGTTATTTCCTTTTGACAAGCTATTGAATATCATTTTCTGCTTGTAAAACTGTAAAGTGTTTTGGTATTTGGTTTATCTTTTGCTTGTTTTGGCTACTTTTCATGACAGTACTAACCACTCAAAGTATGTAAAATACTATGATAGTGAAAATTTAATTTACTTCAGAATATTATTTTGAATATGCCTTAGGAATAAGGGATTTTATTTTTATACAGAGTAGTGGTTCTCAACTTTTCCAATATAGTGGAGTTATCTGATTATTCTCATTGAATTTTATTATTCCCACTTATGAAAACTCCAGAATTCAAACTGATCTCCATACCAATTAAATCTTAACCTCTAGAGCTGGGTTCCAAGCATTAATAATTTGAATTTTTTTAAAGATTTATTTATTTATTTATTTATACAAGCACTGGGTATAGTCAGAAGCATGGGAGGGTGAGAGAATTCACCAGAGCCAGAGCGGGGAACAGAACAGGCAGACTGACGAAACACACTGCTGAGGGGAGTCACGGGCATGGCAGGAGAGGTCTGCGTGCCATGTGGGACCCTCACCGGCGGCCGGGGATTGAACCGGCGCTGCAGAGGTTGTGGGCAGCTTCGCAGCCCAGCACTCAACCACTGCACCACCAGGGGAGGCCCCAATAATTTGAATTTTTTAATAACATCTTTTTATTTTGTTTTTAATATTTTAAAAATTTTATTCATTTATTTTTAATTGAGGTAATATTTGGTATTAGCATCAGGTATAGCATCAGGTATTAGCACCCACCACCAATTCACACATATTCCACCACCTTAGAGCATTGTGCTTCTCTTTGTTCTTACCTCTTCCCCACGCACTCCCCTGCCTTGGTCCTTCAGTTCTGAGGTCAGCTATCAAGCATTAGTTTTTAAACTTGTCTTTTTCTGATTATCAGTTTAGTTACTTCATATTCTGCATATAAGTGACACCACCCAGTATTTATCTTTCTCCTTCTGACTTATTTTACATAGCATTATCCATTCATGTTCCATCCCTGTTGCCGTAAATGGCGTGCGTTTCCTTTTTAATCTCTGAGT